AGCCATCTCATCCTCTGTCGTCCCCTTCTCCTCTTGCCGTCACACCTTCCTAACATCAAGGTTTTTTCCAGGGACTCTTTTCTTCTCACGAGGTGGCCAAAGTACTTAGGGTTGATTTCCTTTAGAACTGATAGATTTGTTCTCCTTGCAGTCCAGGGGATTCTCAGGAGCCTCCTCCAGCACCACAATTCAAAGGCATCAATTCTTCGGTGGTCTGCTTTCTTTATGGTCCAGCTCTCACTTCCATACATCACAACAGGAAAAACCATAGCTTTGACTATTCGGACTTTTGTTGTCAATGTGATTTCTGTGCTTTTTAAGATGCTGTCAAGATTTGTCAAGCCATGTGATATTTTCAATTAAAGGTCAACCTTATTTCTGTTCTCTAGAGTTGTGTCAAGCAACTGGTCTGTGCAGTAACATCTCCTGTATATTCATCCTAATTCCAATTAATGTTCTGCTGTTTTCCCCAATAAGCTGATAATATGATTTTTTTTCAAACACAAGATAAACTTTGTGGTGGTCCCTGTTAATGTTAAAGTTTACAATTTTGTATTAAATCATTGATACTACTACTGTATATCTATGCCACTTGATGTGACTCAAAGCATTCTTTTGAACATTTTTATGCATTTAGGAAACTCTTCAGAAAAACCACTTGCTGTTATTTGTTCTTGCAAGTTTATGGTAAAGTTTATCTTGAAAGCACAATGTAATATTCACCACCTCATCCTATGCTTTGTCTGACTCATCTTCTATGATTTTCAAAAGAAGTAAAGAAACAGTAATTCTACAGAAGATCATACTGAAGTTATAGATTGACAGAAAATAGGAACAGGGCACAGGATGATAATAAAGCTACGTTTTTAAATTGCTTATGTGCAACGGTTAAATAATGTTCATATGAACAGTGGAGAGGGACATAATACTTTTAGCCATAGTGCAAATTACAGATGGCAAGCATTCTCACTAAAAGTCTCACTGATTTAGGCTACTTGTACAAGATGAGACACCTCTACAAGGAATTTCAAAGCCCAGTGAAATTTCCAGCCTCCATCTGAAATCATTTTTGTAATTTGTGTAAAATGTATCTAGTGTTCTTTCCCTCTGAACAGCAAAGCAGGCACACATACAAAAAGGACAGGGGAACTGTCTAATAATTCAGAAACGTGGCAACAGCCCATCTAATTCATTCAATTCTTAAACAAAGTGGCAACCATCCCTGGGCAGCTTGTGTGTATTGTCTCTGCATGAGTGGGAACCTCTTCTCTTCTAAGTGTTTTGTGTGATTAAAGCAGTAGGCACCCCCCTCTAAGACGTAAGTAGAGCTATGCCTCCCCAGCCCCTGTGATTCGGCTGCTCTCAGAGAGAAAATGACAATATGTTCTCTGTTCATTGGGTGTGTCGAATTCATTTTTAGTGTGCACATCAGCACTCGGTTTAAATGTACATGCATAGTCATTCTTGCTTTCATTCTGTTCATGAGAATAGAGGTGCCAAAAGATTGAGTTTACTTTTAGAGAGGTCTCCAAATGTCTGAAAACAGTGCCACCAGTGATGAGCTTTACACTGGTGCCTCGACTTATGAACGTCCCGACATACGACCATTTCAAGTTACGATCAGCTCCGGCCGCAATATTTTGCTTCAACTTGTGGCCGGAGCTTCCAGTTATGAACAGAAAAAGGCAGGGGGAAAAGGTGGGGAATTCAAATTGCTAACTGTTGGTAGGCGAAGAGGCTACTTTGTAGCTGTTTCGCCCCAACGGTTAGAGTTAGTGTGATTGGAGGAGGCTTTGGACTGCCTGGTAAGGTAAGGTGCTGCTTTCTGCTTTTTAAAAACTGTTCTGGGTGGGTTTTGGAGCGTGGTTTTGGGCTGAGTGGTGGGATTATGTTTCTATGCTGTGATGGGTCTTGCTGGGTTGGGTTTTTTTTGTCCCCCCCCCATTTCTAATGGGTCTTGCAGGGTTTTTTGTGTGTGTTCCCCCCAATTTCTGATGGGTCTTGCAGGGTTTGTTTGCTTTTTGGGTCCCCCCCAAATTTCCGATGGGTCTTACGGGGTTTGATTGCTTTTTGGTCCCCCCCCCCATTTTGGATGAGTCTTTGGGGTTTTTTTTGCTTTTTGGTTTTTTCCCCCATTTCTGATGGGTCTTGCGGGGTTTGTTTGCTTTTTATTTTGCTTTTTTTGCATTTCCGAAGGGTTTTGCACGGTTTGTTTGCTTTCTGCTTTGCTTTTTTTGCATTTCTGAACGGTCTTGCACAGTTTGTTTGCTTTTCTTCCCTGACCCCCTTCGGCAGGAACAAATTAATTGAGGTTCCAATGGGTCTTGCAGTGGTGTTGTGGGTATTTTTGGTGATTTTTTTCCTTTGGCGAGAACGGATTAATTGCATTTCAGTGCATTCCTTTGGGAAATGGTGCTTCGACATACAGCCGTTTTGAGTTACAACCAGAGTTCTGGAACCAATTAAGTTCATAAGTCGAGGCACCACTGTATCTGCTTTATATGAATGGTGAAAATATTTCCTAGCTAACTTGCAAGCTTCCATATGCATGCAAATTACATCTCTAATAATTAGCTGGTTTCAAGAAAAATACGATTTTGTATTGTGAGAGCTCTTATGCATGGCACTGAAGGAGCTGGGCTGGTTTCAAAAAGTTTAAACAATAGAATATACTGATGATGTCTAATTTTGGATGCTAATCTTGGTTACTATTTAAATGGGAGACTACAGTATTAGGGAATACCAAGGAAATAATCCTGGTTGAAAACTAGAAATACACCTGCCCACCAAGGCTTGCAGTGCTGGGCCAGAGGAACCAATTGTATGACTCAGGCTGCATTATGTTAGTCTTTCATAACTCAATAGTTCTACTTCAGCTTTTCTGAGTTTTTGTGGGTACGTTTCTAACTTGTACTTGACAAGTATGTGATTTTTCAGATTCCCATCTCTATGGAACAGTATATTTTCTATATGAAAAATATACGGCTATAAGTTGTATATAGAGCTGATGACACCCAGCTCTACCTCTCCTTTTCTCCAACTGCAGTGGATGCTGTTCTGTCTCTTGAACGCTGCTTCGGGACTGTTCTGGGGTGGATGACGACAAAGGGACTGAGGTTGAATCCAGAGAAGACAGAAATCTTGCACGTGGAGAGCCCCAGCATCAGTGGGTTGGGAAACTCCCTCTCCTTTGGGGGGGTGAGTGAGGTTTGCAGCTTGGCCATCTGTCTGGACCCGGATCTCACCATGGAAACCCAGGTGGCATCTGTGGTCTGGGCAGCCCATTTCCATCTTCGGAGGATTGCCCAGCTGTGTCCCTATCTAGACATGGGGGCACTCATGACACTGATTCATGCCCTTGTAATCTCAAGAATAGACTACTGCAGTGCTCTGTACGTGGGGCTACCCTTGAGGCTGATGCGGAGACTTCAACTGGTTCAGAATTTGGCGGCCAGATTAATAACTGGCCGCCCTTCATTGGTTACCAGTTAGTTTCCGCATTAATTTCAAGGTTATAATGATAACATTCAAAGCCCTAAATGGTCTAGGACCTAGGTACCTGTCAGAACATTTGCTGCCAGCCAGATCTGTCTGTAATACCCATTCTTCACAAGCAGTGCAGTTGAGGGCTTTGACCCTGAAGGAGGCCCAGAGGGAATGAACAAGGAACTGGGCCTTCTCGGTGGTTGCCCCCCGTCTATGAAACAACCTGCCTATTGAGATCCGCCTCGCACCCTCGCTGGATGGATTCAAAAGAGCATTGAAGACCTGGCTCTTCTGCCAGGTTTTCCCGGAACACCAGGATCTTGTTCTCCCTTTTTACCATTCTTTTTGCCATCCTCTCCATCATCATCACCCTTTTTGTCACCTTTACTGCCATCTGTTTTAATTTCCCTATTTGTTATTTATTAATGTATTTTTATCATGTTTTTAATTATTTCCTTGTATTGTTGTTAGCCGCCCAGAGTGGCCTGGTTGCCAGATGGTGTGGGATATAAATTCTTCTGCTTCTGCTTCTGCTTCTGCTTCTGCTTCTGCTTCTGCTTCTGCTTCTGCTTCTGCTTCTGCTTCTGCTTCTGCTTCTGCTTCTGCTTCTGCTTCTGCTTCTGCTTCTGCTTCTGCTTCTGCTTCTGCTTCTGCTTCTGCTTCTGCTTCTGCTTCTGCTTCTGCTTCTGCTTCTGCTTCTGCTTCTGCTTCTGCTTCTGCTTCTGCTTCTGCTTCTGCTTCTGCTTCTGCTTCTGCTTCTGCTTCTGCTTCTGCTTCTGCTTCTGCTTCTGCTTCTGCTTCTGCTTCTGCTTCTGCTTCTGCTTCTGCTTCTGCTTCTGCTTCTGCTTCTGCTTCTGCTTCTGCTTCTGCTTCTGCTTCTGCTTCTGCTTCTGCTTCTGCTTCTGCTTCTGCTTCTGCTTCTGCTTCTGCTTCTGCTTCTGCTTCTGCTTCTGCTTCTGCTTCTGCTTCTGCTTCTGCTTCTGCTTCTGCTTCTGCTTCTGCTTCTGCTTCTGCTTCTGCTTCTGCTTCTGCTTCTGCTTCTGCTTCTGCTTCTGCTTCTGCTTCTGCTTCTGCTTCTGCTTCTGCTTCTGCTTCTGCTTCTGCTTCTGCTTCTGCTTCTGCTTCTGCTTCTGCTTCTGCTTCTGCTTCTGCTTCTGCTTCTGCTTCTGCTTCTGCTTCTGCTTCTGCTTCTGCTTCTGCTTCTGCTTCCCCATTGTTGGCAGACCATATATTTAAGGGGAATATTGAGGGAACAGAGGATAAGAGTTGAGATATTGGTGCTCTTGTAAAGATCTAAAAATTATGGAGAAAATGTTCTTTGGCTAGGCATCTGCTGGTCTGTAGTTAGCCATTGGCTTGTCCTACTTTGCTCTTTAACAGCATCTAAGAAGAAATGGGGAATAGCATAACAGTGAATAGAATACATTTAATCACAAATGCAGTATTGACTGGTTCTAATATTTTAAAAAGCAGTATCTTAACAAAAATGAACATGTTTTCCTTCAAATCTTAAGGCTGAAGTTTTCAAAGCAAATGTTGGAAGATGTTGGCTGCAGACACAGGGATTGTAGAAGAATGGTTATCAGAATTTAAGGTAATATATTATCTTTGACAATCAATGTTGATTTTCTAGAATTAAATATCAGCTGTTTTTCCTTCATGATTTCTGTAATTCATGCACAGCAGTTCCTCTGCGCATGCACATGCACTCTTCAAGAATGTTCCAGAGTTTTAAGGCCTTTACGGCACCATCCCAGTATGCATACTCCTCCACCCAATAGGTACTCCTTAGTTCCCTTTTAACCGCAGCTGAGGTAGCATCTTGCAAGTGTTCCATTGGATGGCATATGCCAGTCACGCTTTCTCGGCTATCCTGTCTCACAAGATTATTAGATTAAATGTATGAGTAGATGGGGGTATCATTTATGTGTAATCTTAGTACTACAGATTTGTTAATAATGCCAGAGATTTATTAATAATTCCCATTCTGCTGCTTGTGTAGGATTAGGTGCAAAATGTAAATGGGTGAAAATCCCATACATTTGAACCTGTTTTTAAAATTTAAAATAATAAAATCATATTTATAGTAGGTTGTTCTCAATTCATACAATCCAGTATTTGTCTTTGAAATTTTAGTAAACATTATACTGATCTGTTGTAAAAATAAAAAAGATAAATACAAAAAGCAGAAGTGCCAAGAGAAAGATGATAGTGCAGTATAATCCTGTGTGTGTTTACTCAGAAGTAAATTCTTGATCTCCTTGTCTGAGTTTCTGTTTAACATTCAACTAGTTTTAAAGCAAGGTAGTTTTATATGTAGCTTTTAAACCAAGCTATATCAATATAAAATCATTTTTATTTGAGGCTTGTTTTATGCCTAGTGGGGGAGGGGAAGGATGTTAGATTTAGCACAGCTACTTTGGACTCTGCTACAAGATCAAACAACCACCAAGGATAAAAGACATAGATTTAGTATTAAAGTGCAAAGCTGAAGGATTTATTTTCAATATCAGATCTGAACTGAACTTCATAGTACTTTCACAGATACTAAATCCACTCCGACTTACGCCTTGCTTTCTTTGAAGTAATTTAGCTGGAAGACGTTACTGCTGGTATTGTTAAACAGTTGGGAGTCAGAACTCCTTGATGAACTACTGTAAGTCTGGGCCCAAACAGGTTCGCCACCAGTGCCTTGGAGAGAAATACAACTTAAAAATCTGGGATTAATAACTATGTAGGATTAGAGATAATTGACTTGTTGGCACAAGCCGTCTTTCAGAGAGACTTTCCCTTAGTGATTGGCTATCTGAGAGGGATTTTTAATAGAGTGTTGTGACTTGTTTTGAACGTGGTTTTGGTGTTGGTTTTGTTTATAATTTTTAGTGTGGCTTTTGTTTGATTCTTTTAAAATATTTGTATACTTACTGTATTCAGCTTTTAAATATTGCTTTTTCAATGACGTAGGCCACCTTGGGTCCTTTTTAAGGAGAAAAGAAGGGTAAAACTCCTTAAATAAAATAAAATTATTTTAATTATTATTAATAGAAGAGAGCAAATGAATGCACGAATGTTTATTCTGCAAGGATAAGTATATGTTGGTTGACTATATATATCAAATATTTTTCGTTAGACCGTGCCAGAAGCATCGATACCAAGCTACGCTAAAAATCTGAAAGACAAAATTTCTCTCGTTTCATCTCTTTATAAAGTTATTCAGGACCTACAAAGTGAGGTAGGTGAATGTGTCCATAGTTTAATTTGAGAATAGAATAAATGCTTGAATAAATGATGCAGTAGATGGAAGTTTGGTGTTGAAGATGAAACAGCAAAATGCACAATCCTGTTCCCTGCTTCAAATTACCTTATTCTAGATTTTCATGGTATTTTTGGTTTGTGAAACTACTGTACAGTACCTTGTATATTACCACTTTATAGTCATGGAAACTAGAAAGTTGGATTTTAAAGTTTCTTCTCAATGATGCCCCACTAGATATGAAGTTAAATGCATTTAAAAAAATGTCAAAAGTCTCTGGGAAGCTGATTATTATTACTGGAATTATGGGAAGTGTGGCTTATCTCTTTCTTCCCTTGTTACAGTCCTGAATTTAATTATACATCTTCCTCTTCATTACTGGGGAAACAGCTGTACCAATTAAATTAAATTAAATAAAACCAAGGTGGCTAAACATTAATGTAAAATTTGATAATAGTTACTTCTGAAAAGTGAAAAATGGTACCTTTTTTTATAAAGCAGGAAACTACATCTTCTGGGGATGTGTTCAACTGCTAACAAATAATACATGCTTTTATTTCAGCTGCTGGAGCCAGTCTGTCACCAGCTATTTGAATTTTATCGCAGTGGTGAGGAACTTCTGTTACAATTTACACTACAGTTTCTTCCAGAACTGATCTGGTGCTATCTTGCTGTTTCTGCCAGTAAAGATCTACAAAGCAGTGGCTGCATAGAAGCACTTCTTCTAGGAGTCTACAACTTGGTTTGTATTAACTTCTGACAAATTAATTAAATTCACGTGTTAATATCTTGGATTTATTGCATTGCATGTTTATTGGTTTTACTGTATTTAGAGTAGACCTTTGGTACAGATGGACGGGGTATAAATCTAAATAGATAGATAGATTAGATGGATGGGGTATATATCTAAATAAATAAATAAATAAATAAATAAATAAATTTCTCTTGAGACAAAGTGCAAATGTCTATAGGATATTGCTGTCTTGTTTGATTGTACCTATACTTTTGACAAGTTGGCATTAGCATACAGCTTTTCTGGGATGGATAAAAATCTAAATAATGAGCACACACTAATGTTGCATTTCTTTGGGCTGATGTTAGTTGGACTTAGCAATTGCTTCTTTTTCCTACATAGTAGGATGAAAAAGCTGGGCTAAAATTGTTGAGCTCCATGGTATCTGGTATCATTCTGTGGGCTGGACTTTGCTTGCTCTTAAATTAAAAGAAATAAATGAGAAGATGGGGGGATATAGGTTTAAGTCTCTAAGGTTACCTTGGGCAAGTGAGACACTCTTAGCCTGACATACGTCATAGATTTGTTATGAGGTGAGCAGGGGAGATAGATATGCTGCCTTGACTTCAGTGAGGGAAATACAGTATGTCAATGTCACAAATTAATAAATATGTGTCTGTTAATGTATACATGTATAGCCTGAGCACAGAAAGAAGAGAGAAATTGTACAGTATATCTTTTGAGTGGCAGAAAAGACGGTTCAGTGCTGTGTAAAACGGGTGGATAAAATGTGTGTTATTATCAGCCAGTGTTAATGGAACAGTTCTACAAAATGAAATTCCACAAGTAAATAATATGTTTTAACAGACTAAAAAGCACCCTTATTTACTGTGTTTTCCATATATAAGACCCCCCTCACTTTTCTAACCCAAAATTTCTTTCTTTGCAAGAAAGTGAAGAAGGGAAGGCAGGGATTCCTGATTTCTCCCTCCACTTTCTTGGGAAGAAAGTGCTTTCCCTCTCCACTTCCTTTTCAAAAACTGGACCCCTTACTACCATGTATAAAACAACCCAGAGTAGTGGTTTGTCCACTAAATGGGAGGGGTACAAGTTTAAGCAAACAAACAAAGAAATAAAAATGAAGTGAGGTATACAGATATGCTGAAATATAAATTGTGATGGCATTAAAACTATTTTCATTTCTTAGGTAAAGAAGATAAGATGTGCATTAAACCCATTATTTACAGTTCTGAATAGAGGTGGGGGTATTCGTATATGAATACGAATATCCTCGCATAGGTGGAAATAACGAGGGTCTGGCCACATGGGGCCGGACTGGCTCCATGGACGCTTCCTAACACACCGTTGTCTACAGTTACCTACTCCTGCATGAGGCGGAATGACAACCCTCTCTGCCAGGTTGCAGAATGTGGAGAATGGCACAATAGGAAGCCTCCGCAGAGCCAGTGGCAGTGGTGAAGTCATGAGTGGACAGTCTGGCCCCATGGGGCCGGACCGTCGTTATTTCCACCTGTATGGGGATATTCATATGCAAATACAACCATCTGAATAAAACTAAACAAATAATTTAGACAAGATTGGGCTTGATTTTCATCTGTTGTTCCACTTGAAAAAGTGTCTACATACTAGCCGTAGAGTGCATTTTTCGTGAGTTGTGGTAAATGAGAAGAATAAAGATATGCTTGTTTTCATAGCACATTCTCCTATAAATACAAATTTTCATTCATGTTTCCACTCAGCAGTTTCATTCATGATGAAGAAAGAATGGGATGAGAAGCTTGCTGAAGTGAATTTTATAGAATATGATATAACTTTCATTTTTTATGGTTTACAGGAAATAGTTGACAAAGATGGCCACAGTAGGGTGTTAAGTTTTACAATTCCATCCTTATCTAAACCTTCAGTATATCATGAAGTAAGTTGAATAATTATTTATTATGTATATGCTTTTGTTGTGTTCTCTCCTATAAGAACTTAATCTGGCCTTGATTTTGTCATACAAGGGCTGGCATCTTTTGGCCCATTTGTGACTGCTACTCTTTATCAATTTTCATTTTTAGCTCTGTTGGCTCACTATTTGTGGAGGTTATCTTCTGTCCTAACTGTAAGCCCTTTCATAAAAATGTGCAGGCAATGTAACTACTTGCTGGACCTTAAAGTAACCAGCGCTTTATAGAACCAACATGAATGCAGAAGGATAGAATTTTGTAAAATTTTGGACTAACAGTCTGAAAATATCCTTAGTGCTTAGTGCAATCAGAATAATGTGGGACAGAGTGGGGATTCACTCTAGCACCTTTGTCACTGTTTGCATCACCTAATGCGAACTGGAAAAGTTCACAATAGAGAACTAGCTACTAGTAGGAGATTCTCATGCAGTTTGGAATCCTACCGAAAAAGAACAAGGTCATCAGGTAAATGAAGTATTTACTGTTCCTCATAATGCAATAAGCATAGGAGTTAAGACACCCAAACAGGACTATTTTGAGAACCGAATGCCCATAATTGATTAGAGTGTAAACACCTGGAAACAGACCATCACCTCTAAATAATTAGATTTGGTTCAATTAGATATTTATAGTTGAAGTAGGAAGCACATAAGATTAGTGGACTCATTTGCTGATCTCAAGTACTGCTAAATTTTTGCACATTTATGGGGGCATCTTGAAGCATGGGGTAAACTAGAAGGAGCTGTTGAATCTTTCCCCATATTTCCCTCTTAGTTTTTTTTTATCATGATGCATCTACAAAGCTAATAGTCATTCCTGTTAGAATAACATCAGGTCTCTTTAAAATAATTTAAAAGAGGTAAAAGAAAGCTTCTTTTCCTGTTTCCTGCCTGCCTGTATTTTCCAATGGCTCTTCCTCTCCTCATCACGTCACAGGGATCTACCATGATATCCAGGTGTGCACTAAATTTTAACTGGAATGGTATTTCTTTTACCATACAGTGGGGTCTTGACTTGAGAACTTAATCCGTATTGGAAGGCGGTTCTCAAGTCAAAATGTTCTCAAGTCAAATCTGCATTTCCCATAGGAATGCATTGAAAACCATTTGATCCGTATCTGCTCTTTTCCGTCCATAGAAACTAATGGGAAGCTGCTATTCCGCCTTCGACCACTAGAGGGGGATATTTTGTTTCTTTTTTTCTTAGGTCAAGAAAGGTTCAGGGAAGGCAGGGAAAATACAGTCCAGGCAGTACCAGGCAGTCTGAAGACTCCCAATCCACTCTCTAAACGCTGGGAGGAGTGAGGAAGCAGACAGGCACCCTTTTCACTGGCCAACAGTTAACTGAAAGTTCAAATTTTGCACTTTCCCTGCCTCCCACGTGGTTTTTTTTCAGTTCTTAACTCAAATCTAAGTACTTAAGTCAAGTCAATATTTTCCTATGAGAGCAGTTCTTAAGTCAAAATGTTCTTAACTCAAGCCGTTCTTAAGTCAAGACCCCACTGTACTTTAATACTCCTGCTGCCTACATAGTAGATACCACATATTCCTCTGTTAAATTATAATAATATTTAGAGATGGGGGTATTCGTATCCATATACAAAATACGAATACCCCCGCACAGGTGGAGTTAATGAGGGTCTGGGTCCATGGGGCCAGACAGTTGACGCGCTGTTGCAGCAGAGACCACGCTCCTGTCCTATCGCTCTTTAATACTCCTGCTGCCTACGTAGTAGATGCCACATATTCCTCTGTTAAATTATAATAATATTTAGAGATGGGGGTATTCGTATCCATATACAAAATACGAATACCCCCGCACAGGTGGAGTTAATGAGGGTCTGGGTCCATGGGGCCAGACAGTTGACGCGCTGTTGCAGCAGAGACCACGCTCCTGTCCTATCGCTCCAGTGATCGTGATAGCTGAGCCACTCCTGGCAGAAGGCAGGATGACAAGCCTCTCTGCCAGGTCGAAGAATGGCTTGGTGATCGCGATCTGTGGTGTGGTAGGATGGGAGCGCGGACCCCGTAGCATTAGTGCATTGGTGAGTGGACTCTCATTATCTCCACCTATGGAGGGGTATTCATATTTGTATACATCTGTTAGGCAGTATTACTGTATGCACATTTGAAAGATTATTACTATACAAATACGAATACCCCATCTCTAGTAATAATCTTTCAGATGTGCATACAGTGATCCTTTTAGGTTGTAAAACTATCTGTTGTTTATATTCAATAGCTTTATTCTTTAGATTGCTTTAGAAGTTCTGTATTACCTCAGTCATAATCAAGTGTTTGTTTTCTTTAGCCTTCCAGTATTGGTTCCATGGCTCTTACTGAGGGTGCTCTGTCTCAACATGGTTTATCCAGGGTTGTATACAGTGGACCTCATTTACAGAGGGAGATGTTAACAGCACAAAACAGGTAAAATGCCTGAATATTTCCATGCTAAAGAAAAAAAATAAAAACCTGCATCCATTATAACCTATCTTTTAAAAGTATAGATCAGTGGTTCTTAACCTTTGTTACTCGGATGCTTTTGAACTGCAACTCCCAGAAACCCCAGTCAGGACAGCTGGTGGTGTAAAATAAAAACCTGCATCCATTACAACCTATCTTTTAAAAGTATAGATAGTGGTAGCGTCTTGTTATGATGAAAGCCTTGTGTTTTGTCCTTGAGAATATCGAGCCTTTAAGAACCAGTGGTATAGATAGTGGTGGCGTCTTGTTATGATGAAAGCTTTGTGTTTTGTCCTTGAGAATATCGAGCCTTTTGTATTTTCCAGTTAATCTGAATTCTTTCTTTGTTTACAGATTTGAAGTATTGACATTCCTTTTGTTGCGTTATAATGCTGCCTTATGTTATATGCCAGCAGTTTCTCTTCAGTCATTATGTCAGATCTGCTCAAGGTAATTTTCTCTCTTGCCTGAAAGAAACTCAAAGTAGATATAAGTTGCAATCCTGTAGGAGTCCCTGGAAAAACATAGAAGATTATATTTAAAAACATAGTCTTGGACAGGTTAAAGCTTAATATATCATTGCAGAGATATATTAAGCAAAGAACAATGATTGGATGCTCCCTGCACCCTTCTGCCTTTGCTTCCACTCAGAACGGAAAGCTTTTCAAGTATGTGAAACAAGTATCTGAAGTGATGAGAAACTGTGATTTAATTTTTCTCTGCTATTGTTCCCTTTGAGTAAAGTTATGCAGATGACCACAAACAAGTACAGTTATTGAGAAAGCTTAGGTGACAACATTGAAGAGAGATTCTTGCCACAGCTGCAAAGCTCTTCTCTTTCAAGAAGATGGAATATGGCACTGAATTTTAAACTTAGCTTTCATTTTGAATAGTTCATTTAGGCATATTGGGTTAAGCTGTGAGCAGAAGACAAAAATGTGTAAGAGTTCATAGAACAGCATTACTGCAAAAGTGAGTGGAAGACTTTTTGTAGTGTGGAGGCACTGTGTATTATAGTATAAGAAATATTAGCTCTGGAAAATGCATTTTGGAAGTGAGTAAACTTATATCACCTTACATCAGTGCTTTCAGAGGTAAAAAAATTTCCCACAAATTTAGAGTTAATATTTTGCTAAATTGTAAACAGCACTAACAGAAGAGCTCCATAGGATCCAGCCCACGATAAATTTACAGTTGGGTTCTGAAAGAAGCATGAGTAGGCATAGTCAAGTGTATATGTGTATTAATGTGTGTTCATTAAGTGACAGAAGAGCAAATGATTATTAGAGTTATTATGAGCTTGACATGAAAAGAACACTGATGTTTCAAATTCTGAGACTGCTATTCTTTCATTTGGTGATGCATAAACCTCTGTGCCAGGCTCCTCCACCTAAACAGAGAAGTAAGAGGCATAGTGACTCTTTCACAACTGATCTCTCCATATCTGAAAGAATGAAACCACAAAGTTCATGAATAATGAAAGTAGTTGTATAATTGTGATGGGGTCATTTTGCAAGACCATGAGAATAGTCTTCACCTATTTACGTTTCCAGGCCTTTCATCAACCTTCTTCCTTCCATCAGTTTCCATCACATATGCTGGTTTCTTGGACTTCATTGATCACTGATAATCTGTACAGCAGAAGATGGGAGGATGATTTGTGAGACAGGATAACATTAGGATATTGAAGTAATGCCTTCTGTTTAGAGTTGGGGAAAAGATGTAAAAAGCTTCACTATTAACACATGTAGTTTTTCATGAAGCGTCTCTTTATATGACTGAATAAATAAGCCTTCCTTTAACACTAAGAATTTCTCTTGGAATGCCTGTGATTCTAGAAGAAAATGGTACAGATTTTTAACACAAATGTGTTTAAAGTAAAAATGGTATTATGTTTACTTAAAGGTTAAGATTAGGATAACCAGTGTGTTAAAGTGACATATAGTGGGGATTCTGGTTTGTACTTTCTTTTCATTTAAGATAACTAGTTTCTTCTTTGTGGCCTCTGTGAATGCACACAAATGGGTTGTTCTGCACCTGCGCTGAACGTCTCAGAAGATTCTAGAGCTTAAAAGTACATGATTAGTGGCACGTTCCTCCGTAGAGCACATGCTCCGCCCACCCAAGATTCCCCTCAGTTCCTTTTTTCCGCCGAGCTGTGTGGATGTCTGGAAAGATAGAGCTGTTCATTGAGTGACTATATTACTACTTCCTATTCTAATCAACACTTTAAATTAATCATTCTTATTTTCTAATCAACTAATCAACGTTTCCCCTGTGAGTTAGTTCTATTTTTATCTATCACCATTTTTGGCTTCCCATCCCCTCCCCCATTCTCTACAAACCATTTTTCCGTCTGGTTTCCCACTTTTTTTATGGCCTCGCCAGGCTGGTCAAGTGGTGTGCTGTTGATTGAACAAAATACCCTTGACGGACACGCAGGACCAGTGCCTTTTTTGCTTGGGTGACCAACATCCAACCCACTCCTGTGCAACCTGTAAAAAACTGACTAAGCTGGCACTTACTCCCCTCCCCCATTCTCTACAAACCGTTTTTCCGTCTGGTTTCCCACTTTTTATATGGCCTCGCCAGGCTGGTCAAATGGTGTGCTGTTGATTGAACAAAACACCCTTGACGGACACGCATGACCAGTGCCTTTTTTGCTTGGGCAACCAACATCCAACCCACTCCTGTGCAGCCTGTAAAAAACTGACTAAGCCGGCACTTAAACTTAGGCTTCAGAGGCTCAGGTCTTACCTTTGCGAGACAGCTGTGAATCCTCCCTCAGCTTCTGTGGAGATGGCGAGATCTCCAGACCCAATGGTTGAGAGGCAAACTCAATCCTAGCCTGCTCCCAACCCCATGACTCCTTCTCCTTGGTGTAAGGAGACCTCTGACAAGGCAAAGTCCACATCGAAGCAACAATCAATATCACTGTCGAAGACTTCGGCCCAAGCCCATGAGACATCTAAGAAAAAGAAAGAGAAATCTATTACAAGAAAGGCTAAATGAGTTACCGTATTTTTCGCTCAATAAGACGCACACTAAATGAGTTAAATCAGTCCATATCGAGCCTCCACAAGCAACTCTACCTTTACCAATTCTGGAGGAATCCTCGAGGGGCTCATGGCGCAACATCTGAGAGGGAGGAACTGCAACTAACAGTGGCTCAGGTCCCGGTGTCGACCGGTAGCCTATCTCCTTATGCTGGCCTCTCAATGGCTGATGTACCAGCCAGGCAGGCCTTGGCCCATTCTAGCCCTTCATCAGGGTGGGCAATTGAGATTCAACTCTCAGGATCAGAGTCCTCACACTGCTCCCCCGAAAACACCGGGAGAAGCGTAAACACATCTCGCCTCCTCTGCATGTCCCTTTGTATGGATAGTATTATCATTACTACTAGCTTCCATGGTATCATCTTTTTGACGTGGATGAAATATATCAATATTATGACCCTTATCTGATGGAGACGCACCCAGAACAATTTTATTACGATGACCCAAAATGTAAGATATGCATTACCGTACCAACAGGTATATTCCTTATCACAATCCCTTTCACCACCACAGCATCGACACCGCTCGCAGCAATTGGTACCAGCCTTCCCTCCACCTCCGGTCCCCCCCAAGCCAACTCTAAAGCATTTGATATCGACATCTCACATCGACTACTCAAAACAATCTGGACACTCCTCCAAGCACCAACAATCAGTTCAGGTGGCAACTACATTCACAGGTCCCCATCCGTCAACGGAATCAGAATCACATCCATCATGTTCTTCCTTCAGAGTCCAACCTCCTCCTACATTTCATCCCTTGCAGTACCAACAGTATCCATAGATTTCAGATTCCAACTCACCACTTTTGATACCAGTTTCAAACTAGATTAAACCCATTTTTTTGTTTCAGGCAAAATATAACAATGGGTCCTTTTTATTATTAAATACAATTTTATTGAATTTGAATCTCTTCCACCCATAGTAGAAATTAAAACTACCCCATACTCTGTAGTTCTTCAAGAAGTTTCTTCACTTCTTCAGAAAAATGCCATAATTAAAGTACCTTCACTTGATCTGTACAATGGTTTCTATTCAAGATATTTCACAGTCCCTAAAAAAGATGGAGGACTTCGTCCCATCCTTGATATCTGACACCTCAACAAATTCATTCGACCCCGAAGATTTAGAATGTTGACCCTAGACACTGTTATCCCTCTACTTTCGCAGGGAGACTGGTTTGTTGTGATCGACCTACAAGATGCTTATTTCCATACTTTGATTCATCCATATCATCAAAAATTTCTCAGATTCCAATTCAACAACATCACATACAATTCTGCTCCATGTCATTCAGTCTATCTACGGCACCGAGGACTTTCACAGAGTGCATGGTACCAGTCGCAGCGCATCTTCGACTCCAGGGTATAAACATCTAGCCGTATATGGACAACTGGCTGATAGTTGCGACATCATACCACGAGGCCATAAGAGCTACAACCATTGTGCTTGACACACTTCAAAGCCTTGGACTCAGGGTAAACTTTACAAAATTGCACCTCGAGCCAACACAATCACTTATATCGGAGTCCTCTATGACTCCTTACAAGCCAGGGCATTCATTCCTCAAGAACGAATTAAAAAATTAAAGAAGGCCATTCGACCCTTCTGATCTCGAGCTTCCATACGAGCCCATCATGTCCAACGCCTCCTCAGGCTTATGGCATCTACAACATCAGTGATTCAGCATGCCCGACTCAAAATGAGGTCGCTCCAGTCATGGTACCTGCCCCTATTCAACCCAGTGACAGACCACCCATCCATGCGGTTAACAGTGACACCAGAGTTCACCAGAGTAAACAACTCACTTGGTGGACATCAAAGTCGAACCTTCTTGTTGGACGACCCTTGTTCTTCCAGCTGATGGAGCAAGTCACCACCAATGCCAGCCCGTCTCTTGTTGGACGACCCTTCTTGTTCTTCCAGCTGACGGAGCAAGTCACCACCAATGCCAGCCCGTCTGGAATGGGGGGGCACACTGTCTTCACTACAGGACTCATGGCCTATGGACAAATCAAGAACATTCACTTCACATCAATCATCTCGAGCTCTTAGTGATTATTAGAGTTTTCCATGCTTTTTTCCCAATCATCGATGGTCGAGTAGTGCAACTCACCATGGACAATACCACAGCTCTATATTATGTGAACAAGCATGGAGGCATCCATTCTTTATCCCTCCTGTACTTTGCTATCGACCTGTGGAATGGTGCTATCAACATCACATCTTCCCAATAACAATGCACATTTCCACAGATGAGAACTACATAGCAGATCACCTCAGCCGTATGACATCGTGAACTCACAAGTGGTCTCTCAACGGTACCATCTTCGATCAACTTTGCGACCTATGGGGAACACCAACCTTCAATGTCTTTGCTTCAAGTGCGAATAACAAGTGCAAGGTCTACTGTTGTTGAGCCGGAGCAGACGAGAACTCCATCAGGGACACGTTCATGACAGATTGGGACAGGGAATTACTCTATCTTTGCCCACCAGTATCACTCATTCAACAGGCAATAAGTTGAATTCGACATTTCCAATCGAACGCAATCCTCCTAACTCCCTGGTGGCTAAGGCAACCATGGTTCACCTACCTCAGATTGATGTTGATGGACTTGTTCCATCTTCCTCTGGTTCCTGACCTTCTGACACAAGATGGTGGGATGGTTTACCATCCAGACATTCCGTGGTTGAATCTGACAGCTTGGAGGATACTTCCGCCTTGAAACATGTTTTAGATCGAGCTTGATAGCCTTCAACTCAGCTCCTATATGCAAACAAATGGAAAGCTTTCCTTGCCTTCCCTGAAACAAATAACCTACCTGCAGTACCTGTCTCTTTGAAGACACTACTCACCTTTTTATTCCATCTCTCCTAATTTGGACTATCTCATTCCACTTTAAAGGTCTATATCTCAGCCATCGTTGCCCATCAACCGGATAACTGTAAATCAGCAAAACTTCTTTCTCATCCTACAGTAAAAAAAAATTCTCAAAGGACTCTATAACATTCGTCCACCATGGCAATGTATTATACCCCAATGGTCACTATAGATTGTCCTTAAGGCTCTCATGCGCTCACCTTTCCAACCGATGGGTTCTTCAAATCTTAAATTACTTTCTCTGAAGACATCTTTCCTAGTAGCCATAACAGTAGCTAAAAGAGCCAGTGAACTTGCTTCTCTTCATTCTGATCCACCCTTTATCCAATTCCACCCGGACAAGATGACTTTGTATTTTGGTATTTCTTTTCTGCCCAAGATTGTATCAGAGTTTCACCTAAATCAACCAATTATATTACCATCTTTTTTTCATCACCATGAATTCCTCTAGAGCGCATGCTCCAAGATACTCTCTTGCCTTTTACATCAACAGAACCAAGGCTTTCAGGAAAACTAATAGACTTTTCCTGTGTTTCCATGGTCCTCACAAAGGAGGGCCAGCCTCCTCACAATCCATTTCCAGATGGATTGTTCAAACCGTGTCCTTGGCATACGAACTGTCCCGCAAACCACCTCCTGATCATTTGACTGCACATTCCACTAGAGCACTGTCAACATCTACTGCCTTCCACCATGGAATCAAGATACCTCACATCTGCCGTGCTACAACATGGTCTACCCCATTGACCTTTGTCAGATACTACCATCTAGATGTCAGAGCACAGAGTGATGCTGGATTTGGCAGAGCTGTCTTGACATCCTTCCTATCATGACGTTCCACCATCCAGTAAGTGAAGCTTGCTAGTGACTCATTTCTGTGCATTCACAGAGGAAAGAAGAAAAAGAGGTTACCTGCCTGTAACCATAGTTCTTTGAGTGGTCCTTTGTGAATTCACACATCCCACCCATCCTCCCCTCTGTCTGTCACAGTTTATGTTAAATAACTTTTCTGCCTGGCAGACAATTTTTAGGAACTGAGGAGAATCTTGGGTGGGCAGAGCATGTGCTCCACGGGGGAACGTTCCAGTAATCATGTCCTTTTAAGCTCTAGAATCTTCTGAGACGTTCAGCGCAGGAGCAGAACAACCCATTTGTGTGGATTCACAGAGGACCACTCAAAGAACTATGGTTACAGGTAGCTAACCCCTTTTTTTATTGTATATAGTGTTTTTGACCTGAGGATACCTTCAGTTTTAGATTGTATTTGAGGTAGTTCTAGAGAAGTGCAAAAATTCTAGACTAGATGGAATTCTTGATTAGCAAACAACAGCTGTTACTGGATAGCAAGGTCAGAATTGCAAGGGAAGGTGGTCAAAAAAGGTGCATAAATCTGATTTAACATTGTAGGTACTAAGCTGATGGTGAAGGGTTCGATATTGTGTGCTCAATCTTAGGTTTAAGATAAGTGTTTCAGAGTCTTCCATCAAACTTGTTGAACCTTCTGTATTTACTAGATAAGCAAGGGTTATTGGATTTTACAGTAATTTCAGCTAAAACCCTTTCTTTGATAAAGTATAACAAAAACTAGTATAAAGTTAAACATTAGGATTTTCTTACTCTGTCTTGCTTTATCCTTTTTGACCTGTAGATGAACATATTTTTACATATTATGATGTTTTTGCGTTTGCTGTATAACTTAGAGAAAAAGGGACTAAATTATCTGTATTAATGCAACTATTATGAATGGTCTAAGGGTTGTAATAATATACTGACTGCACCTATTGTTTCATTTAGGATCTGTGTCTGTGGATATCCACGTCAACAAGTAAGGAAGTACAGAGGCATAAACAGCAGGATTCCAATTTCCTCTGAATTCATGGTGCAAATGTTAACAGGGATTTATTATGCTTTGTAAGTTAAATGTTTTGTACATAGAAATAGTTATTCATTTTAGAATGGGCATGTGGCACTGAATAGAATATTTCATTTACTTAACACCAGAAACAAGGTCCATAAGTTCCATAGATACTTTTGTGAAGAATACTTTATTTTCAGTATTTAGCCTCTGCCAAGAAATATTTAATGTGGCTTCTTGAGTGACTGTCAGGAATTAATGTTGCTGTCCCTCCCAAATATGAAACTTCTGATTTTTAGAATGCCCAAATGTTTATATAAATTTATTGCATGAACAGTATTTGCACTTTTTGACACATCATGTCAAAAGACATTGGTTCAGAACTGCTCAGTGTCCTGGCTGTTGTCCTGTGGTGTTCCTCAGGGTTCTGCTTTGTCACCCATGATTTTTAGCATCTACATGAAACCGCTGGGATAGTTTGTCTGGAGTTTTGGAGTTCGATGTTACCAGTATGTGGATGACACCCAATTCTTTCTCTCCTTTCCACCTAATTCCAGGGAAGTTGTCTTGATTGTAAACCAGCCATTTTCACAACTAAAGCTGGTGCACCAGCTGCGCCAGTTCCTTGATATACAGTATCAGATTTGGCTACAGTGACACATGATATGTCAGATTTGGCTACAGTGACAATCCCGTTTGGATTACTGTAACCCATTCTATGTGGGGCTGCCTTTGAAGATGGTTTGGAAACTTCAGATGGTGCAAACCAGACTACTGACTGGGGCCAGCAATAGGGAGTGTATAACACACCTGTTACAAGAACTGCACTGTCTACCAGTCCTTTTCTGGGCCCAGTTCAAAGTCCTGGTCATTACCTAGAAAGCTCTATACAGCTTGGGTTCAGGCTACCTGAAGGACTGTGTCTTCCTATATGCACCTTCTCAGCAATTAAGATCAGCAGAGGAGGCCCTCCTCTCGGTCCCATTGCCAGGCAAGCACAGCTGATGGGACATGGGAGAGAGCATTCTCTGTGGCAGCTTCCAGGCTATGGAACATTCTCCCTTGGGAGATCAGGATGGCCCCTTCCCTTTTATCCTTTTGAAAAAAGCTAAATCGCATCTCTTCAGGCAGGCTTTTAATAATTATAACCGAATCCCTGAACCTCATTTCATCAGAAATTTTAATCTTTTTCATGTTTTAATCTTTTAATTGTATTTTAAATAATATGTTGTTAAATTAATCTTTTAATATTTAACATATTGTGTTTTTAAATTGCATGAATTTTAATGTTGTGAGACACTTTGGGTCCCTTGTTGGGAGAAATATGGCATATAAATAAAACTAATAGAATAATAATAATGTGGCATATTGATGAACATATTGTGTGACATATAGATGTGCAAAATTGAGGAGGAAAGGAAGATTTACAAATCGCATGAAAGAATTCAGTTGATGAGATGTGAAAGATTTTGTTTCATTTTTGACTAGATTAAACCCATTTTTTTTGTTTCTGCAAACCATTAGCTTGAGTTTATATAAGTTGTTATGTGGATTCTTACACCAAATTTAATTTGATCTAGGCTTGGAGCCTTTTCCTAACCATTGGGGTGAAGAAGCAGCCTCTTTGCCACCAACAGTTAGTACTGTAGATTTAAATTTCCCACCCTTTCCCCCTGCCTTTTTCCTTTTGTAAGTGGAAGCTCCGGCCGCAAGTCGAACCAAAATTTTGCGGCCGGAGCTTTCCATAACTTGAAATTTTCGTAAGTGTGGACATCTGTAAGTTGAGGCACCACTATAGATTGTTATGTCTTACTGCTTTGAACGTGTTTTTACTATTGCTTGTGTTTACCATTTCTTAGAATGTTTGATCCTTTTTAATATTTGTATACTTACTGTTTTTAGCTTCAGATGTTGTCTTTTAATGATGTAAGCTGCTTTGAATCCTTTTTAAGTAAGGAGAAAAGTGGGGTAAACATTAGTTTAAAGAAATAATACATTCAGTTTTGCTTTCAAACATTCCTTTTTTAGTTACAATGGAGAATGGGATTTGGCTCGAAAAGCAATGGATGATGTTTTATACAGAGCACAACTAGAGCTATATCCAGAACCACTCTTGGTAGGTATCTTGTCTCAAATGTTTCTAGCCAGTGTTCAGACTTTATTTTAAACATCTCCTGTTTTTCCAAGCTTACATGAATTGCTAAAGCAGCTTGTAACTAAAATATAAAACAGTTAAACAGACAAGCAGCAAATTGTATGCTGTGCAGCAAATTAAACATACCAGGAAAAAAGAGAAAGTAAGGGGAAAGAAAGCTCAATACATTTCAGGCCATAAATTTTCTGAATAATAATAATAATAAAGAGTTTGTTTATGTCAGAACTCTAACAAGATAGAAGGCAAAAGATATATGCTGGGAACAGGAAGCTCCATAAAGTGTGGTACTATGGAGAAGACCATCTGTTGTATCACCACCACCCATCTTTTGCATCACTACCACTGAAACCTGTGGTGACAGCAGGACATGAGGAAAACTTTATGTTGGAGAAGGCAGTGTTTTAACCAGGCTGATCCTAGTGTACATAGGGTTTTGATATTGGGGACCAGTACTTCAAAATGGGTCTGAAGCTGATATAAAGGCAAGATAGTTGATAAAACATTAAAGTTACAACTAGGCACCTGTGTAAAGAATGGTTTGTAGCAATAATATCTAGATTTGGAAATCTGCATAGTCTAAAAGGCTTCTGTTTCTCCCACTCGCCCACCTCCCGTCATTCTTTGTATTACTGAGTTTTGAAAGCACACAGGAAATAAATTGTCAGAAGAAAACTTTTTGTACATTGCATTTGTGTGGGTTGCTAAAAGACAGCCCAGAAAGGAAATGTATGATTGTAAATGGACTTCTTTATCGGCTTTTAAGGCAGGTGTGCCCAGTTTGAGTTGTTCACTAATCCTCTTAAGTAAAGCCGTAATTATGAACGATGCAAGTAAAATTATTAACTGTTTTGACACTTTGTCATATCTAATATAATAATACACAGAGCTGCATTCCTTCATTAGAGTAAATGTTGTTTTAATTTGAGGCCTGATATTAATCTTCAGATCTCTTTTTTCTTTTCTTTCCAAGGTTGCTAATGCAATAAAAGCTTCATTGCCTCAAGGTGCCATAAAATCTAGTAAAGAAGGTACAAAATGCATACAGGTTGAAATCACACCAACTGCATCTAGAATATCAAGAAATGCAGTGACGAGCATGTCTATTCGTGGCCATCGATGGAAAAGGCATGGTAAGAAACATAGTTGTCAAAATTACCATTAATTTTATAGTTAAAAGTTGAAATCGGTATGCAGTAAAGGTACTTATTAACTTTTGGTACAATTTTGCTAAATTGGCTATTGTGCTATTGCATTTTGTTTATTTTAATACATAGGGATCAACTGGTCTTGACTGGTTCTCATGAATGTCTAACTATTCAATGCTTATTATTTGCTTTACCATTTTTATTCTATGGTTTTAATGTATTGATTGCAAATGATGGTCTTCCCTCAACTGCTCACATGTAGCATTTGATATTAAGTAGAATCTACATGAGTTGAAGGCTGCTGTGTATAACTTTATTAGGAAGCAGGATTTTACGTTGAATTTCTAGATTTACCATGTGAATTTGGATGTAAGCATTTGTGTAGAATTTAGCACCATTAAGCATTGAAAGTTATGAAATTGTAATGATTCTTGTTTTATAGTAATTATGTAGCAAAATTATTACATAGGCATTCTGTTGAGAACATATTGCCAGTACATATCCACACGGACTTCTACAGTATAAGGGCTTCTCGTTTTCATTTGTATAACGAACTGATTGTTACCATTCAGTGATTTAACCACAACATTTCCTTGCTAAGATGGATTCTGAAAGTACCTGCTTCCCCCATTAGGTAATCTAAAGTTTATTTCATCCTGCAGAAGATTGCTGAGCTGGTCCAAGGGCGGATTGCTTAAGAATTTGGTTAAACATATTGTTTTGCCTTTTAGTGTAGCATAGTGCTTTGAGTGGAAGGTATCAATTGGAAGAATTATAGTGCAGAATCAGAGTAAATCTTGATTTCATCCACATGTCACATCTTGTCTCTTATATATATTGTTTTATAGAATAATGTTACTCTCCCAATGGAGTCCTTAGTTCTCAGTAAAGTATTCTAATTTGCAGTCTTGTGAATTAAAGCTGTTTCCAGACAGGTTAATAGTAGTAAAAAGGTGGACATGTTCTGATGAATTTAAGTGAACAGAGATACTGCCATCTTCTAAGAGATGCTACTGGCTGTTTTTTGTTTGTTAGTTTTGTTAGAATTTTAGTTGATAGTGCTAGCTTGTGTCAGCCTCCTTAAAAATTATTAAGGAAACTTTGGAGTACTGTCCAATTCAGCAGCTTGAAGAATAAGAGTCTGGGGACACAGATACAAGGCAAAATCCTGTTGACATAGTTAAATTAAGTGAATACTTCCTATCCCCCACACTCCTTTTAGGTTCAAAGGCTTTCTTGCACTCCAGTTTGTCCTGGGGAAGCCTTTGGGAATCTCAGGATGGAGCAGGACACCTTTAATCACCAAATTACCAGATTGCTACCACCAGCGTTAGCATTGACGAAAATAATCAGGCAGTGGCACTGATCCTGGTGGTGATTTTTTGGTAATTGAAGGCTTTCTTCTTCCATCCTGAAGCTCCCAAAGGCAAAAGGGACCCTAAGGAGCCACAGACGCTGAAATTGGGTAATTAAGGTAAAGGTAAAGGTTCCCCTTGACAATTGTCCAGTCGTGTCTGACTCTAGGGGGTGATGCTCATCCTAGTCTCCAAGCCATACAGCCAGCGTTTGTCCGAAGACAGTTTCCATGGCCATGTTGCCAGCACAACTAGACACGTTACCTTCCCACCATGGTGGTACCTATTTATCTACTTGCATTTTTACATGCTTTCGAATTGCTAGGTTGGCAGGAGCTGGGACAAGCGACAGGAGCTCACTCCATCACGTGGATTTGAACTGCTGATCTTTCAACCTTGCAGCCCAGAGGCTTGTGGTTTAACCCACAGTGCCACCACGTCCCATCAATTGGAAGCATTAAATTCACTTAAATTAATGATCTCTGCTGCCTGAATCTGGTTTATGCTGCTGTAACTATGCCAATAGGATTTGCCCAACATGTTACTTCTAGTTTTTTCCCCTTTTTGTATAATTGTATTGGTGATTTAGAAAACAAAAATACCTTTCATATTTTAGAAACTACTCTTTAATATTGCCTTCCTGCAGGAGTCATACTTGATGATACAGGTGCTGAAGTTCACGAGTCATTGGTTAGGACAAGTGTTTGCTGCAGCAGATAACAGTAAGGCAAGAGGCGTGATAGTATTAGGAAAACAACTGACTCCAATAAAGATGAACAGTTACTTTGTTAAGAAGAAGGATAATTTGCCAGGTATGGAAGTTTGGCTGCAGAATCCTAAAGAGCTAGTAAATTATGAGCTTCCAATTTGGGATTATCATGGTGTTGTAACAAAATGTGTGGAAAACTACCGCTTCTTTAGCTTGTAGAGGAGAATCTTTTTTTTACAAAGTAAACTATGACTCAAAATAGGTATCAATGTCCTTTGAGATAATTTCTTCCAATTACTACCTTGCAAGTTACTGTGTTTCATTGACAATAGTGTATAAAAGTGATATACTTGGAGTCTCACTAAATCAGCTACCCCAGCCTGAACATCATTGCAGCTTGACAGCTTCACACTGATACAGAGCCAAACTATTCATCAAAGCCTGTAGGATAGCCATCAAAACTGTTACCCCTTACTCCTCCAGATGATCACACAGGTCTGAGTAAATACCAGATAGCATTGTGTGTGGAAGAGCATACCATTGAATAGAGAAAGTAAACCCAGAAGTTTTCTCTAGAAAAGATACTTGTGTACTTTCTGTTTCAGGAGCAATGATTTAAGCTTATGGTTTAGCAGTTTCATATCATGATTATTTCAGAAGGCTGGATAGTTGTTTGATTTTCTATCCGGAATATATTTTTAATAAGGTCCCCTTATTGAAAGAAAGGCAGCCTACAAATGAAACAAGTAAATAAAAAATACTCCATTTGGAACATGGTTTGAAAAAAATATACAGCTATAATAATTTGTGAAAATTGCAGTTTTGATTTATAGAGCTAGTTTGCATATTCAGAAAGTTTAATTTCTTCTGCACAGAGTAGCCTCATGTGTTTTAAAATTAAATTGAAACAGATGTTAATAAGAGCAATATGCGGCAGAAACTAAGATGGTTTGAAATACTGCAGTGCAATGATACAGAAGAGAAGTAAGTAACACTATTTGGCTGATAGGTCACTTAAAAACCATTTACATCCCCCCAGAGATTTTATTGTATTTGCTGGATAACGTGGTTTATCATTTAGTTCAGCTGTACTTCCTGAGTTCCTCATAGCAGGGTGGAATATCGGTGTTAGAAACAACTATGTTTTGTTGAACAAAAGAGAGAGTGCATTGAACTGAATAATCTGCAGCTCCGGTTCTTATTAGAAACACTCTAATGGGGACAGAGTTTGCCATGGCTTAATAGGAATAGAAGAACTATGTATAGTGTTGATAGGTCTAAGCATTGCAGGATCCTCAGTTTTAGTAGCATCATGTCCATTTGTATCCCCACCTCTGAATTCTTCCATGCAGCACAACATCATGTTCTCAGCAATGGGAAGGTCATATGTTTTGCTCAGTTCTCTCTAATGATCTGTCATGTGGTCTGAATGCCCTTGTACAACCCCCAAGGGAAGTGGAACATACAGTGATCAGCCCATATGGGAAAGGATCACATTCTAAATCTGAAGCCCAAGAAAAGAAGGAACCTGTGTCCTACTTGCTTTTGATCTGCTTGTTTTACTCCAACAACTTTCAGAAAGTGACATTTCAATGAAAACCTTTAAATGAATCTCCACATTTCAGATAGATGTCTGTATTATACAGCATAAATGAATGTAGATAGTGGTAATTTCTATGAAATTATTGATATACTGGTTTCCAATGTGTCATTGCATAATCTACAAAGAAATGGTTTTTCATGCAGCTACTGGTTTTATAATTAAACTCTTAAAATAACTATAGTGATGATTTATTTCTACTAGTGGAATAAGTAATAAATGAGATCTGGGTTTAGTAGAAAGGTTTAGAGTTCCATTTTTTAATTTCTGATGATACCACAATATTTATGTGCTTTGTGTAGAAATAATTTATCCATTTCTTACTAATAAGGCTAAATAACAGGTCAGTAAGCAAAACATCTGACTTCATAACATTCAACATTCTGGTTTTGTCAGACTTGTCTCTTTTTGTTTCTTTGTCTCCGTGGTTTTTGTTTCAGACATCCTTTTTTTGTTTTTGTTTTGTCTTATCCATCTTTGATTCTAGAACAACCAGATAATGCTAATGACACTACTGAATCGGGCAATTTTGTCATACCCGAGATTAGTGTTACAAATGTGGCTGGAGAGCGAACCGGGAATGGGGAAAAAAGCAGAGCACCAGCAGAGAGTGATGCTCAGCATTTGCAGGGTGTACAGGAAACGCCTACAGATCCTAGACTTGACCACAGAGGCTTACCAGAGATCAGGAGACAAAAATCTGTAAGAAAAATAATGGAGGATGGAATAAGCTCACCTGGCAGAGTGCAGTTTTAGCAGAGCACTTTGTAGCTACACACAAAGGTATTGATTGAAAGGGTCACTGCTGCATGTTTGGAGTACTGCAGTATCCAGTAAATTATATTTGCATGTTACCTTTTGATAGAAGACAAATGCATGCTTTGCACATAGAAATTATTATTTCTGTGCTGAATACATTAAATGGCATGCGGGTACCGCGTTTCCCCAAAAATAAGACAGGGTGGTACCGCGTTTCCCTAAAAATAAGACAGGGACTTAGATTAATTTCTGCTCCAAAAAAACGTACTAGACCTTATTTTCAAGGGATTTTTTTCATGTACAACCATCTACTGTACATTTATTCAAATAGTCATGTCATCTTCTGGTTGCTGCACAATAGTGGAGAACGTGGTTTCACTTAACTGGGGCTTATTTTTGGGGTAGGGCTTATATTATGAGCATCCTGAAAAATCATACTAGGGCTTATTTTCAGGGTAGGTCTTATTTTCGGGGAAACAAGGTAGCAAATAAGGTTATTTTAGCTTGGGAAACCACACTGAGAGATTTCAAATTGTGTTCTTTATTTTGGGTTATTCCTAAATCAGTATATTGCATATTCCCAAGCTCACTTAGAGAAATTTGTTTTCCAGATATGTAGGAACCATGTCAATTCATTTTATTTTTGTTTCACTTTTATCATTTGAAGTCTTTTCAGCCATGAATGCTTATACTCCAGTGTGTTCAGTTTCCAGTCTTGTCACTATACATAACTCTGTATTGCAGAATGTGACCTTTCAGTCTAAAAAAAAAAAACCTTTAGTACTGCTGGGTTCGCTAAAAATGTTAGAGCGTACAGGTGATGCCACTATGATACCCTGATTCTTAGTTTCATGATTAATTTGCTCTGCTGATAATGTGTAGATACATTGGATCATCTTTGATTCACACCTTTTCCTACCTTTCTGTAATGTATCTAACCTTTTTCTAAGCTTTTGCATGAATAACAGAAGTGCTTTGTGAATAATCATTACAAAATGAAAATAAGCATGCATTTTAAAAAATAAATTCACTTTACTAGTGTAATACAAATTATATTATGCATTTTCCATCAGTTTGATATAATGGGTAAGTTTCCTGTCCACTCCATAGTTTGTTTTTTGTTTTTTGTTTTGCTCTGTGCCTCTCTCAAACAATGTAGCTTTATTGCAAATCATTGCAAAATGCAATTGTGAAAAATTCCTATATTAATTGTTTTCTTTCTTCATGCAGATAGTGAACTAGGAATTACAGAAGAAGAATTAATAGAAGTCTCTGAAGTTGATGAAGGTTTTTGCTCTAGGGCTCCTTCTACCACAAGTAATTCTGCTTTATTGAATAGCAGCAATATGAGTAACAAGTCTCTGCTAAGCAAGAGTCAGCGAAGGTCTGGAGGAAGCAAAATTGGAGGAAAAGAAAAGGAAGCTGTTGGTGAATCCCATAAAGAACATTTGTCTCGTAAACAAAGCCAGAGAGCAATGAGTGAAAACCTAGAGCTTCTATCATTAAAGAGACTGACCCTAACTAGCAGCCAATCTCTGCCTAAGCCTGGCAGTCATAGTTTGGCTAGAACTAGCACTACTCTTTTTAGTAAATCTTTTGAACAGGTCAGTGGTGTTGTAGTCCCAAATAATCACAATGGCACAGAAGGAAACAGATTTTCAGTGTGTAGTTTGCAAGAGAATAATTTGATCTTTGGAACTGAAAGAATAGAACTTCCTGTTCCAAACAAACAGCCAAATCAGCAACGACCACCTACTATCAGCATTACTCTATCGGCAGACTAACTAGCACATTTCAAACCTTTCAGTCTAAATGAGGATTCAGGTGGTGTTAATACCATATATTATGATCCATGATGCCCCTTTTCTAACTATTAATACTCTTTTTAGAAGTTACTCTTATTTGAAAGTAGTATCTCTAACTTGCAAGTTTTAAGGTTTACAATGTTACAGTAGAGTAGCATGGAAAATTCTGTATTTTACATAAATTATGTTATAGTCTGTGGGACTCTACATGAATTTTGTAAGAGTGCTACAATTGAGTTTGTATTGGAGAGTTTTTACATCATGAATGTGAAGCACAGGAAATTTTTAATATTGATTGAATTATTTTTCTGGAACAATACAATTGTGTTGTTTTTGGAGGTTATATGTCAGGTCCATATACACAACTGAAACCTCCTTCTTGCTTTTTGAGTCCTGGAGAATTTGAAGCTTTTTTTTTAAACGTTCATAAAAGCAGTTCAGGGTTCCACTAAAGTGGGCTGCTTGTGTGTGGGGGGGAATCAGCTGTGTGTGCCGGTGTACATTAATGGATTTGCTGGGCTGAAGTCACTATGTTCAGTTTGAAACTTTCAGTATTGCTACTAACATGTAGACTTGGTTAGTATTCTGGGGTTTGTAAAATCACCTGCAACAAACATTTTTTGAGAATACAGTGGGTATATTTGATAGTTTTGTAGAGAACAAAGTTAAGCTGTGTTAACTTCTAAAACACACTAGCTATTTGCTAATATTCAGAGCACATATAGTACAGCTACTCAGATTGTGCTAGCCACTATCCCCCATGGTGTTATGCTCAAATATTATTTATCTGTGGGTTTCATAACTATAGAAGGACAAGTTAGATGTTTGTGTGGGCATGTTTGTACACCTTGGTTGTGGTGCTACACATTGGGCTGTCTGCCCATGGGCCCATGTGTATACCTGAACTCTGTATAAATGTGGGGCAAGGAGATGCAATCCTAATTCTTCCACTTCATGGAAGAATATCAAATATCAGCATAAAGCTGCTATTCCCAGTATTCCAATTTTACAATGCAGGTGAATTTTCAATTGCAGCAAAGAAACTTTCCTACCTCAGAGCCTGCAAATCAGCACAAGAAACAATATTGGCTTCCATTTGCTGCTGATTCCTAGATTTGAACAGAATTATGTGTCTTTAAGATTTTAGTAATTACAATATCCCATATGAACACTTTGGGAGCTGATAAAATGGGTTTAGTTTAGTAAAACTTTCTTGCATTAAGCCATTATTATGCATTGCGTCATATTAAAGTATTACATTTTAGGCCATGACAGAACACATGTACATATTAAATATTTTGGAAGGGCAAATTTATATTATGGTTATTCTCTTCAAAAAATATACAAGTTTGGAAACTACAGACTGGTATGTTGCAATAATTTTTTAATGACCTTGCCACAAACTTCATCAATGTCAGTTCCACAGGCTTGCAAATTCGTCTATATATGCAGTGTCTCATAGTTTCCAAAAACTATGAAGACTAGTAGGCACTCCAGAATGATTTATTAGAAGCTGGGGGATGGATGTGAAGGATCTGAGTAAGAGCAGAAGAGCATTCTACTTGTTCCTAAAGTCTTAGAATACAAAGTATTATCTGTAAAAGTTAACAGTGTCTTTGGTTGTCTTCTTCCCTATTCTTGCTAGTTAAAGTATGATCCTTTAAATAAAATACATTCCAATATACACCCATATTACATTTTGCTTATTGTCTCACAAAATGTTTTTAAATGGCCAGCATGTATATAGATAATGATAGTACTCTGTTTTATTGGCTATATGCTTAACGCCAGCCACAAGCAGCTAAAACATAGAAGGTCTAAAACTCAGGCAGAAATGTCTCTCACCTAATAGTTAACAAATTGGAATGGGGCATCTCCAAGTGGAAGAGATTCCCCATTCTTAAATTCCAGAGAGCCAAGTTTTCTAACCAGCTTTTCTCTAACTGTTGAAATTTGAGATTTTTCTAAAATAATTTTTGTGCACAATTTGAATTTTAAAATGGGTAGCATCTAAATTTAAAATTATTTCAACTTTCTGAAATCACGGATGTACTTATCGTTACAATATTAATATGCTTTATGTTTAACAAGCTACTGCATATATGGTTTTCCTAGATAATTTACATTTTACTGACATTGTAATATTTTTTAAAATCAAAGGTAGAAGAAAGTGACTCTTACAAAGGAGTGTATTTTTAAACTTCTTCCTATGGTTAAACTAACTTTATATATAAAATGCTGTAAGATACAAAATTATGGTTTTCAAAATGTTTACACTGCTGTAGTTTTTGGACTAAAATGTTTTTTCTCTAATAAAACTAATTTGGGGTAGGATTTTTTTTTCATGTTCAGGTAATCTTGTTCTAAACTTTCTCCAAATGCTGTAAGAAATATCAAAATAACATATATCTATGTATGTATGTTTGCCACCTGGTTTGTTAACTGAAATAACTTTCATATTTTTCGTATTTATGTGTGCAAATCCTGATGTAATGGGGCTTTCTGTATAAATACATTTAGTATTCGTCCATAATCTCAAACAGAACCAAGAATGGAAATTAGCAAATTATACTGTAATGTATATGCAAAGATAAAAGTAACCAGCCCCAATACATTTTGGTTGAATGTGTTTTTTTCATAAGGGTTGGTAATTAGTAAAAATAGCCAGTACATGCTAAATGATGAAGGGGACATCTGCATAATTCTACCTGTATGGTATATTGACTTGGTTCACAATATACAATTCTCATAAGGCTGGATCTTTTCAAAACTCATCCTTTTATGACAGAAGTTGTAGATGGCTTGGATCTGAAAATTAAGATGGAACTCTTTGGGCTTTATCCTAGCTTTCTCAAAATTCTTGCCATGATTCTGAGTCTAGAAAAATAAATCCATAACTGTCAAGGTGATATGGCCTATGATTTTAGGCTTATCAAGGAGAAGTATGTTTACCAACTCTGGTGTTTCTGTTTTGGAAAAGCAGTATGCTGCTCACTCTCACTTAAAAACACTTCACAATGTTTAATGCAGAATTCAGAAAGGTTGGATGATTGCCGTTCTCTAGAATGCAACAGTGGATTTTTATTTTGGTAACTAGTTATGCTTAACTACCAGAAAGTATCAAAATAGTCTAGAGATTTAGGTCATCAATAGCTTGATAGCTTAGCTTCTGAAGGTTTACTATTGTTAAATACTACTACTAGATGAACACTAGAAGGTTTTAGGGATGGGTTAGTCCTGTGATTGAATATTTTCTATTTTGTGATTTAAGGAGCACTGCTGTATTTCTACTTTTTTCTCCAACAATAAGTGGTCCATTACCAAGTTGTGAAGCCCAGTTAAAGTTAGTGGAACTAACCAGTGTTGGTCAGTGAATTCTGTCCTGTAATAAAATAAGATAAATATAGTTGAAGTTAGGGGTTGCTGTAATAACAGGTGGTTTCACGGTGGTGGTGGGGAACTAGCATTGATGAAAATTTTGCATAGCACAGCTATGGAAAAACACAATGTACCGAAATGCTTTAGCAGTCTTTTATTTGAGATAAACACATGATATAGACGATTTATGAATGATATCTTTTCTGATGGGCATCACTCTTATTTTCCTAATTTAGATTTTTAAATGGGCTAGACCTCTTTCTGTAATAACATTAGCTTTTGCATAGCTACATTTCTAAATAATGAAGACTGAACATTTGGCTGTTTATATATTTGTAATACTCTGTTAATTACAGGGAAGATTAAACACCAATTATTACATTTTTCATGAATAATATGGAAGTTCGGATGTGTGCTGCTTTCTGTTTTGTAGTGTAAGTTTGTGAATACTTTCCATTTTTGTAACAAAATGCTTGTTTTGTATAGTTTAATAAATAAATTGCCTATCTTGAGTCCACATTCCTAAAATAATCTGCATTGTTTATAGACATTGGAGTAGTCCAGTTGGAGGTTTGGGATGGGTTTCAGATTATGTAAATTCTGAATACTAACATGCATTTTGGAGTGCTGCTGATTGTTTGCTCTATAATGTTCAGATTGTAGCCAAAACAAATTACACTACTCAGTAGCACTAAGACAATAGTGGGAAATCTTGGTTTTGCCCAAAGACTACATTCCTTTGTGGCTGTTCTTACAAGTATGGGTGAAGGCCACCCTTGCAAAATAATTGAGTCTCTCTCTCTCTCACTCTCTCTCTCTCTCTCACACACACACACACAGAGGGGGGGGGAACTGAAATCCTGTTGCAAAGTGAATAGGATAACTTTTAGACACAATAAGTCTTTGTAGGCATTATCTGTTGCCAGACTGCACAATGCATTATGCAACAGATAATGTCAATGGAGATTTCTTATGGCAATTTGTGCCTTCAAAGTTGTGCTGTTTGCATAACTGCAACAGGATTTCAGCCATTTATACACATCTATAAAATTCACCTACTTATTTATTGTTATACATCCATCCATGTGCACATGCGTATTGTCATAGAATACCCAACAGATGTTTGTTTACAGAGACATCACTTATTAATTTTTATGTAACACAGGCAACTTTTAGGTTTGGGGAAACCACCTGTTAGAGCCAATAACAGGCTTTTTAAAAGTCTTAGTGCTATGCTTGCAGGACACAAATGAGAGAAAGGATAATGCTTTGCTCCCAAGCTGTAGACCTTACAAATTGTTTCTGACCATTTTCAAACCTAACTGCTGGGAAGAAGAGGCGAAACCTGGTAGACTGGAGGTTTTATCACAGATCTGTACTTATGCAATATTCCAGGTTCCTCCCACCCTTACCTTATATTCTCTAATTAGTTTATCAAACAGCACACCTATGTAGGACATAAAACTTTTGGTGTGTTGGTATTAGTTCAGAGTTTTGTAATCCCTTTTCTAGCAGTACAAGAAAACGTATACTTTTGCTAATGGTGCAAAGTTAGAGTATTGTCTTTCCTCAGGATGGCACAGTAAGATGGAGCACAAAGATTGGGATTTCAGTTCCCTACCGTGCCTTGTACAAGAGCCATCTTGTATGGTCTTGGACAAGAGTGCCCCCAGAAGGGAATGATAAACCACTTTTGAGTATTTCATAGGTAAAAAACAACAACTAGAATAGACTTGAAGGCACTTGAATATTAATAGAGAAATAACACTGTGGTCAACTGTTTAAAATATTAAACTCATTTAACATAGGGTATTTTAGATTGACAAAATATACATGAATCCTGTGGCATCTTATAGCAAAGAGAAACAAAACTGTGACTGAATAAGGTTTCTAAGGTCTTCACTAAATTAATTACTGTCTTGCTGCTCACAAGCACAGTTCAAATGCCTCTTTGCTTACAATACAATTGACAGCTTACCATGGCAGCTTACTCTGCTCTCTTACGCTAGAACTTCCTCCTGTCTTCATCTGAATGTGCTTGTTCTAAGATGACTAATAGCCTCTAGTGTTGCTGTTAAATATATGTTCCAGAAAACTGATCAAAAAGTCCTCGAGGTCCTTAAATTTTTGAGACATCTGTTGCAAATTAGCAATGCTATTCATACCTAGTTGGAATATAAAAAGCATTCTGAATGCTTTGAGTTAAAACTATTTATGAACAATGTATCAGCTCCTTACTGTTATGGTCTTGTACATTATAATTTGAAATTTTAAAAGTACAAGAGTTCAATTAGCAAACCTTCCCATATCTTTTTTATTTCAGCAAGGGACTCACTTTGACTGAAACAAACTAAGGGAAAAACACATTTTCAGTATCTGTTTTAAGGATCTAATGAAAGATACCAGTCAATATAAAGATGGGAATGAACTTCTGTTGGATTCCAGATGTATTTCTGTTGTCCATGCACAATATAATTTATTTGTTAAGGCAACCTGTTGCACGAACATTCAGTATCCTTGATCAGCTCACACAGAACTGGAATTCCATTAAATACAGAGTCTGAATTCACCCTCAGCCCCAGTGAATCCTGTGGTGTATGTTTTTGAAGTCAAGTGTAACCCACAAAAGCTCTTGCTATGACTGTAAACCTTAAAAGTGGCCTCAATAATTTTGTTTTTGTTCTTCTTATAACAGAATATGTTTCTCTCTCTGAAAACATTGATTTTAATTAGATGCAAGTTCAACTTACTGAAGTCTACATACATCCAGAGTGAAAAGCTGTTTTTGGATTATGTCGGAAAGTATTTGTTTCTCTCCTAAAGTACTAGTTGGGGAAAGGGAAATAATAGAAACATTAAAAGGGGTCTGTACTAAAAGGTAGTGAGGAATAGACACAGCAAAGGTCTTGATACAAACAGGGTTGGATGCTATGACTCATAAAAGGCTTCTTCACCACATGCCATCACAAATAGAGAATATGTTTCTTATATTCTCCCACAAAAAAGGAGAATCACAGACAGAATTTCCATGCATAGAGACTTCTGAGTGGAAATTGGACAACATTTTGCTTTGGGTGAAAAGGAGGAATTATTCCTCACTGCCATGTACTGGCCTGGAAAGCATATACAGCGGACCCTTGACTTACAGACGGCTTGACTTACAGACTTTTTGAGTTACAGACTTCTCATGTACTGGCCTGGAAAGCATATGAAGGGCACTTGACTCCATTGAGAATGGGTTTTAGACAACAGTCTATCTTTTATCATATACAGATAACAGTGGCTTCAGTGACTTGTGGCAGGACTGGGAACTCTGTTGCATTCATTCCTATTTGTTCCAGCGAGCAGTAAAGTGAGACATATAGTTGTATATCAATGTATGATCAGCCACAGTCTGACTCAAGTCAATGGAGACTTGACTTACAGACTTTTTGACTTGAGAACCGCCTTCCAATACGGATTAAGTTCTCAAGTCAAGACCCCACTGTAAAGGGCACTTGACTCCATTGAGAATGGGCTTTGGACAACAGTCTATCTTTTATCATATACAGATAACAGTGGCTTCAGTGACTTGTGGCAGGACTGGGAACTCTGTTGCATTCATTCCTATTTGTTCCAGCGAGCAGTAAAGTGAGACATATAGTTGTATATCAATGTATGATCAGCCACAGTCTGACTCAAGTGCTGATTGATATTCTGCTTATCTTCTTTATGGAGATTTGTATTGTACCATACTGTATGGTGCAGAAGGAAACAGTTGTCTCCAGATGTTCTTAGTTTACAACGGACATAAGCTATGTACATAGCTGTTAGCCTTATCTTAAGTGATTATAGGTACTGCAGTTTAAAAATCCAGATGTTCTTAGTTTACAACGGACATAAGCTATGTACATAGCCGTTAGCCTTATCTTAATAAGTGATTATAGGTACTGCAGTTTAAAAACACTGCAGGCTACAAGTTTCCAGCCTATTATAAATTATGTAACCTGACCCACAAAATATCATTCTCAGAAGGCATTCAGAAAAATCACCCCACTTTTATGAAGAGCAGTACTAAGAAATGCCAAATTATCAAATGTAATTCAAACTCAGTCTGTATTAAAAACCCAAATAGTGCTGCTCCAGCCCACGGTTCTGTAACTGATCCTTAGTGGCTCTTGCTAAACCAAAGTATCACATTTCCTTAGCTCATCTATACATCTCAGCCACTTGAGCACATGCATACATGTTGCTTTTTGGTAATCTTACTCCTGCGTCAAAGCAGGATTAAAGTGAAGAAACAGGTGAGAATAAAAGCAAGGCAAAAGGAAAATTAGAACAAGATCTTCTAGTGTGTAAACAAGCTATCTGGGTATTTTAACTTGCTTTTAGATTCTGGGCTTTTTGGGGGGCTGCCCAAGATATTAGTGGGTGTTAGAAATTGCAGAATGCTAAATCTTGTTGCATGTAGCTTTCTAAAAAGTATTATTGAAAATTGCTTTAGCAATTTAGGTAAATCTGTCATTAGTGCTCAATTAAAGCATTCTTAGATGTGTAGAGTACACGCTTGTCTAATCCTACACAAAAGAACTAGTGTGGGTAGACATATGTAAGAAGGGGGAAATCTCAGTTGTTGTTTTTTCTGTGTTCTGTTTCTCTCTATAATTTGCCTGCTTCCCTTTATGCTGTTTTTGTGTTCTACTCAAATTTTACCTTGTTTCAGAACAAGTTATTGCTTATAAGCTTCTCAAGTGCATGCTTTTTCCATGTTTCCTTCCCCCTAGATCTATGTCATGGCAACCGGAAATTTGTAGCCCCAAATGGCTTTGAGGAGCAGGTTGCAAACTGTGATCTTGAGAGAATCAGAACTTCCAAGAGTCTCTAGCGCACCATCTACTTGGAAGGTATGTTCCCGTCATGTCTTTTTATTTGGTTATGTCAAAAGCAAATGATCTTTGCACTCTGAAAGCATCAGCTGTTATTGCCCAGATGTGCAAATGTGCTCAGAATCCTCACATTCTTCAGAGTAAGGACTCCTTTTGTGTCCTTCCCCTCATTATTTTGGCAAAAATCCTCTGCTTAGCTTAAAGTAAGCCACAGTTAGAGTAGGCCCATTTGAATCAATACAATTTACAGAGGAATTGACTCACCAAATTCAATAGGCATATTCTACTGTGATTTACTATGCAAAATAGGACTATTATTTTGCCTGTGGTGAATCCATGGTTAGCCAGATAGGATGCATGTAATAAGATGCTTGACTAGATCGGATCCATCAAGATCTCTATCCCACCACCTTCACAGGTGTGTCTGGTGGGGGAGGGCCTTCTTTGTTGCTGTACCCAGATTCTGGAACTTCCTGTCACAGGAGGCCAGACTGGCCCCATCTTTGCTGTCCTTCGTCAAGCAAACAAAGACCTTTCTCTTCAGGCAGACTTTCCTTTAGTGATTGGCTATCTGAGAGGGGGTTTTTAATTGAGTGTTTTGCCTTTTTCCATGTATTTGTTGTTGGTGCTGATTTTGTTTACTATTT